AGTACTGGCACGCCGCCTCCGTGCACATTCGCGTCTCGGATTGTGGGCTGGCAGCCCCAAGCAAGAGCAGTGGAATCAACTAAACTTCAGCGTTCATCTCCACGGCAGCCCGCTGAGCTATGTAGCAACTTCGGAAAAATCGGAGGGCCGGGGAACCAGGACTACACGAGAGAAGGTAGACTTGCCATCTGCGAGAAGTTTTGTGCGTCGTTCCGTGTACGATCATGTAAAGAGACTGTGCCATTGAGATGCTCTGAACCCTAAACACCTAGGACCCGGGAGTAACCTAGGAATAAAAAGGGTGCCCTTTTTGGTTTTAAGGGGATTATAAGGGAACCCCAACCCTACAAGGGAAAAAGGGCCTACTCCCGGTCCTAGACACTGCACCCTAAACAGGCAAGGGGCGAACAGTCCTCGACCTTTTCGCCATCGACAAGGTAGGTGGTCGCCAAGTCTGGCGAGCAGAGGTGGGCGAACATGTTAGGGTTTAGGGTTTTTAGGGTGTTTTTCGGGTTTGTAGGGTTTTTAGGGTTTTTAGGGCTTTTAGGGCTTGTAGGGTTTGCAGGGTTTGTAGGGTTTGTAGGGTTTAGGGTTTAGGGCAACGATTAAGGGCTTTGGGGCAACTTTTGGAGGCCACGAGGTGGTCGTGGGGTTAGGGGCTTGGGCAGAACCCGAAGCCCTCAACCTTAAACCCTCTTAGGAACCCTAAACCCTAAACCGAAAGCCTAAACCCTAAACCCTAAACCCTAAACCCTAAACCCTAAACCCTAACCCCTAACCCCTAAACCCTAAACCCTAAACCCTAAACCTAAACCCCAAACCCTAAATCCGTTTCCAGGGATCGGATGAGCTTACTTCATGGTTCTTGGTCTGGGTCGCTGAAGGAACCGTTCTAAGTGGCAAAATGAGGCTCTCGTGGTTCATAAGACTTCTTCACTGCGGTTCGCAACTTCCCTTTAAGTGACTTAAAGAAACGAAACCCAGAAGCAGGAAATTGCAGAGTGAGGTACGTACCCTAAACTCCTTAGAACGGAAATTCCTAGAACCCTAAGCTCAAGAAGCCCTCTGTATTCTCGGAAGCCCAGACCCTGTTTCCGGGAAAGCTGGGCTCCCTCAGCCCTAAACCTAAACCCACGATTCTTGGCTGACTGCCTAAACCCTAAACCCTAAACCCTAAACCCTAAACCCTAAACCCTAAACCCTAAACCCTAAACCCTAAACCCTAAACCCTAAACCCGAATCCTGTGGCCAAAGCCCCCCTTTAAACCGAGCCCCTGGGGCTCCATCAACCTGGTTGCTGTTTAAGGGACCTTCATGACGTTGCTGCGACAAGGAGACCTTAACCCGAGCCCACTGGGTTTAGGGTTTAGGGTTTAGGGTTTAGGGTTTAGGGTTTAGGGTTTAGGGTTTAGGGTTTAGGGTTTAGGGTTTAGGGTTTAGGGTTTCTGGTGGCTCAGTTGAAAGTTCTTTGACAGCAACAATGCCGCAACGCTAGGGGGCCTGTCATCTGCCACTTTTTAAGTTTTTAAGGGTTTTCGGGCACCCTGTAAGCCCTCAACCCTTGACCTATAAAGCCTAAACGCTAAGCCCTAAGCCCTAAACCCTAAACCCTAAACCCTAAACCCTAAACCCAACACCCACCAGGCCTAGGACAGACGTCGGCGGACGAAATCCTGGCGGTAAGACGATCAAGCGGGCTTGGGGTTTTAGGGTTTAGGGTTCCAGGATCTCAGGGTCTTAGGGTTCTAGCGTCTGAGGGTTTTAGAGGTCTAGGGTTTTGGGGTTCCTATGTAGGGTCTTGAATTTTAGGGCCTTAGTGGCACATTCAGAACACGGAATCCATGTGAAGCTTACAGATTCGGGCCGCGGCATTAAAACTCAAAACCCTAAACCCTAAACCCTTCGGGCCTCGGCATTTAACAAACTTCTGAAACCGCCCCCCCCCCCCCCCACCCCCAAAAAAACCCCTCAAACCTGAGAGAAACCGCGTGCTCTTGGAGGGCGGAGAGGAGTCGGAGTCTTTAGGGTTTAGGGTTCTGTCCCTTCTGTTCAGGTACCAAAGTTGAGCACCAGGCCGGCGCAAGAGCAGCTCCAAACCCAACAAAGCCTCAAAAGCCCCCGAAAGCACTCCGGAAACCTGGCATCCGGAACCTTGGATCCTAAGCCCCAAACACCACAAAGGGTTTCAGGGTTTAGGGTTTTAGGGTTTTAGGGTTTTAGGGTTTTAGGGTTTTAGGGTTTTAGGGTTTTAGGTTTAGGGTTTTAGGGTTTTAGGGTTTAGGGTTTAGGGTTTAGGGTTTAGAGTTTAGGGAAGGAGCTCAAACACAAGGACTTCGAAGCAAAGGCACTTGACTGCACCATCCCAGGCAGACCCACTGCCAACGCCGCTTCTGCCTCTGCCCGCCATTTGGACCTAAACCCTAAACCCTACACCCTAACACCCTATGCCCTAAACCCTAAACACTACGACTACAACCTAAACCCTATTCCCTAAACCCTAAACCCTAAACCCTAAACCCTAAACCCTAAACCCTAAACCCTAAACCCTAAACCCTAAACCCTAAACCGCAAGCACTGGGCTCCGAAGCGCGGTATCTCGGGGGTTAAGTGTTGAGGGTTTACGCGCTTGGGCTTCGTGATGACTTCTGCAAGAATCGTATGCTGTTAAACCCCTCAACCCTGAAAAATGCCAGTGGAGCCTCAGGGAACTTTGAGTGCCTGAAGGGCGTAGTCGGTATACTAAGCAACACTGGAATTTCTCTCCCAGAGTTGGCACAAACTTCCCCTAGGTGCTAAGGTGTTTGGGACCAGGGTTACCCGGTTGCCCTAAACCCTAAACCCTAAACCCTAAACCCTAAACCCTAAACCTGAGCCCCAAACCCTGAAGCACCCCAATTCTCGATCTACGTGTTCAGGGCCCGAGGCTGTAAGCGAAGACTCCTGATGACGTGAAGGCCATAACTTCCCCAAAAGAAAAAGACCCGGCCTTCCCAAACCGAAAATCACGGAACTCAACCTTGGCCTAAGGTGATGCCCGGGAGTCTCAACCCCTTCAGAAAACCAAAACTCCCGAAGGCTATTGAAGCCCAACCCTGACCCTTTTTTTGGTTTCTTTCCTGAGTGCCCCCAAATATACGTTTGGGGTTTAGGGCACAAAGACCGCGTAATCTTCATTATAAGAACGCCCGCCCCCCCCCCCCCCCCCCCCAAACAAGTAATTACCCCTAGGTGGCGGAAGCCCCCGATGTTCGTATAGACCCTACTTGGAGGTCCTACCTTCCTTGAAACCTTGTAATCACCCAACCTACTCACCCTGCTTGCTAAGTCAAAGGGGCTTCCAAGTAAACTCAAACTCTAAACCCTAAACATCCCTAAACCCTAAACCCAAAACCATAAACCCTAAACCCTTAAAACCTAGGGTTTCCCATAAATTATCCAAAACCCGAGGAACTCTAAACCCTAAACCTCCCTAAACCCTAAACCCTAAACCCTAAACCCTAAAACCTAAACCCTAAACCCTAAACCCTAAAACCTAAACCCTAAACCCTAAACCCTAAACCCTCCCTGTATGGCCATGTGGTCCTAGAAGAACCGAGGCCTCGGATCGCAACGGCACATCCGCGGATCGTAGCCTGAGCATTTAAACGTCTGGACTTGGGTTTAGGGTTAGGGTTTAGGGTTTAGGGTTTAGGGTTTAGGGTTTAGGGTTTAGGGTTTAGGGTTTAGGGTTTAGGGTTTAGGGTTTAGGGTTTAGGGTTTAGGGTTTAGGGTTTAGGGTTTAGGGTTCCGACGAGCTTCGGCACGCTTCCCTTTTTGGTTTGCCTGGTTTAGTGGGGGATCCTAACCCGAAAGAAAAAAAGGGCTTCTGGGCATCAGTAGTACTCACCCTCAATAAGCCAAAGAGCCTTCGGGTTTAGGGTTGCGGGTTTTGGGGGATTAGGGTTTCCTTGTTCCCTAAGACCCAAGCTAAGTTCGACCCGGAGGTTTCGCAAGCCCTGTCAAGATGTAGGTTTTATAAGGTGCATTTTTAGGGTTAGGTTGTTTTTGGAGCTTTATGCTTAAGGGTTTAGGGTTTGGGGTGTTATGAGGCTTTAAGTTTCAGATATGGGGGTTATAAAAGTTTTCGCTACCTCATAGCTGGACCTACCGCACCAACTACTCTTGAGAACAAGTCTACTTACTACGACTTCCTTACTAGGGAGTTAGGAATATCCCTTCATGGTACAAAAAATATATATATATATGTATATATATATATGTATATGTATATGCTCAAGTCTGCTGCGGCCCCCAAAAAGCAAGGCCCTAAACCCGGCTTTACATGACATCTGGGCTGGAAGGGGATGCCAGAAAACAACAAAAAAAAAACAGCATGCTCGACTTGATCAGCTCTACCGGCTGACGCGCTACACAAGCGCTGCATACTCCACCGGCACGCTCTCAAAAAGGACCATCACAAGATGCCCTGAAACTCAAACAGTGTAAAAAACACATAAGTGTAAGAACAAACCCTTAAATCCGAAACCCTAAGCCCTAAACCCTAAAGAGATCCTAGCAACAAAGCACAAACAAACAGAAGGCCCCGAACCATGGGCCGAAACCGGCACTTGCACTCAAGGCTGTTTCCTTAAGAAACATGGGCCTAGTTTTCATAGGCTATGCCCCTAAACCCTAAACCCTAAACCCTAGACCCTAGACCCTATGCTTCAAGCCCTTACAGGATTCGCTGGATTCTCTTGCGTGCCCAAGGAAAGGGGTAGAGCTCACAGGACGTTGTGCTCAGGATTCAGGAGTACAAAGTCTCGGAGCTGAAGAGGCCGACCTTGGCTTTCGGGGTATTCATGTTCTACTTAAGAACCCCCCAAAAAACACAAAATATTCTTCCTTATTGAGGGTAGTATAGGGATTACTATTTTCTATTCTTTTGGGGTTCTTAAGAAAATAGTAGTGTTTTGGGGCTGGGATTAGGGCAGGATTAGGGCTTCATGCGGCAGGAGCACAGTAACGCCAGCTGCTCCATGACCTTTTGCCGGGCTGCTTCGTTCAAGCCCTTACAAGCCCTAGAACCGGCCCTAGCACCCCTAAACCCTAAACCCTAAACCCTAAACCCTCAACCCTAAACCCTAAACCCTAAACCCGATACCTGCACAAAAAGGTTCCATGATTGCTTGGGGTAGCTATCTGAAGGTCTACTTCCCTAGACACCGAGTAACAATCGCTCTGGGTTGAGGGCGTTAGCTAGGCTGGCCCTTGAAACCCTCTGAAAAATAGTTTTTTGAATAGGATCCTCTTCAACCCAATAAGGGAAAAGGGCCTACCGAGTCAGGTTGCAGGGTTTGGGGGGTTTTGTCACAAGAGTTTTAGGTTTTTGGGGGTTCGGGTACTGTCCGGGCTGCACCGGATCCCTGTGAACCCACTGCGCAGGGAAAAGATTGCAAGGACCACTGGCATGAAATTGACATTCCTCCTTCAATGCGATCTGCAAACTACCCCAAGGCTCCAATGTAGTTCCTTTTTTTGGGTTAGCTATAGGGGATTTTAGTATGCTACCCCAAAAAGGTACTACATAGGAGCCTTTGGGTAACACCTACCCCTCCTAAACCCTCAACCCTTTTTGCAACAGGCTTCGCACTTCGCCTGGAAAACCCTTACCCCCAAAGCCAGAACCCAAATTATGAATACCCTCTTAAACCCCAACCCTCGTCGGAGCCTCGCTGCTCGCCTCAAAGCCACCCCGGCCACAAAGGCCAAGAAGTCTGGCGACAGGGAGGTTTAGGGTTTAGGGTTTAGGGTTTAGGGTTTAGGGTTTAGGGTTTAGGGTTTAGGGTGATTGGGGGTGACGCCGGCTGCCTGTGCAGAGGGCCCAGACAACCCACGGCCTTAAACTACACTTGGACCTGTATGAATGCTTTCAGGAACAGCTCCGGGGTGCACTTTCAAGGCTGCAGGTAGCAGACAGTGGCTTAGGGTTTAGGGTTTAGGGTTTAGGGTTTAGGGTTTAGGGTTTAGGGGCCAGTGGCCTCAAAATCTTTTACATAGGGATTCGACGCTCATACACACACGAGGCAGCAAGGCAACCGTCCGAATGCCCTCGTGCCAGGAAGCTACCGCTGCGATACCGACAGGTTGGGGCTTCTGGCAACCGCCGTGCACAACCCTTCAAGCCCGAAAGCACCAAAGAAGATGAACCTTGGAGGAAACAGAAATCATCGAAACCCTATATCTCCCAAAGAGCCAGGGATCCCTAAACCCTAAACCCTAAAACCTAAACCCTAATTAAACCCTAAACCCTAAACCCCAAATCCCCGAAAGAAGCGCCCCCCACCACCTAGCAAGAAGAACCCGCTCAGCGCTGCACCGCACGGCCGTGGTCCAGAATGCGGGCCCGCGTGGCTCCAGCGTTCGCATGGCCTCAGATGCTGTAGAAACGCATGGTTTAGGGTTTAGTGTTTCTAGACCCTAAACGTAGGGTTTACGGTTTAGGGTTTAGGGTTTCGGGTTTAGGGCTTATTCTCAGTAGGGGGGCGGGGGGGGGGGGGGGGGGCATCTTTCGGAGCATGCTCGGCGGTGGTCTTGGCGCCTTATCTCCTGCATAGCAAGAAGCACTGATCGGAAACCTTAGCGTTCAAAAGGGTACCATATAATCAAGAGCTCGTAGGTAGCGATTGCAGACTGATAAACGCCTCTAAGACTCTAAGCCCAAAAAGGGTTTGGGCCTTCGGGTTGAGGATTTAGACCTCATCACCAAAGCCTGGGCTACCATGTAGGCTTGATACAGGTTTTGAAGGGTTTGAAGGGATTCATGAGATGGGGGTGAATTGGGTTTATGCGGTGTATGGGGTGTATAGGGCTTAACTCTACTAATCGCTTAAGAACCCCCCCCCCCCCAAAAAAAAAAAAACAAAAAAGAAAAGGACAACATATTCTCCCTTCTAAGGGTAATATAGGGGTTATGATTTTACATTCTTTTGGGGCTCTTAAGCAAATAATTAGTAGTTTAACTATAGCCCTCATGGGTTCAGGGTTTAGGGTCTAGGGCTTAGGGCTTGTTAACTAAGAGTTGGTGAGCAAGTGCACCTGGCGCGCCGCGAGCATGAAGAGCTCGGGCTCTTGGTGCCTCATGCCGCTGACGGTTGTCCATTCCCTACATTCCCTATATTCCCTATATCTCTTGTATTCCCTATATCTCTTGTATTCCCTACATGCCCTATGTTCCCTATATTCCCTATATTCCCTACATTCCCTATGTTCCCTATATTCCCTATATTCCCTATATTCCCTATATTCCCTATATTCCCTATATTCCCTATATTCCCTATATTCCCTATATTCCCTATATTCCCTATATTCCCTATATTCCCTATATTCCCTATATTCCCTATATTCCCTATATTCCCTATATCTCTTGTATCCCCTATATTCCCTATGTTCCCTATATTTCCTATACTCCCTACGCTCCCTATATTATATTCCGTACGAAGAACCCGCCTGCTTTGCCGTTGCAAACAGCTTCTTTGTGGCTTGGGTTCGGGGGTGTCGGGCTTCATGGGGGTGGTTGTCAAAATTATAATCCCTTTTGGGGTACCAGGTGCCGTAGTAAAATAGGGATCCAAAAAGGGACCATCATTTTGACAACCACCCAGGGAGACACCCAAGACTCTAAACCCTTTGCAACCGGGCTTGGGGGGCTAGCCCTAAACCCTAGGCCCTAGACCCTAAACTCTAACCCATGGTCTTTCCCGAAACCCTTGTGTCCGGATTCCTGGCTGTAGCTTCCATCCCCAAAAACTATTCCCTAAACCCTAAACCCAAAACCCTAAACCCTCAACCCTAAACCCTAAACCCTCTTTGTAATGAAGCAAAGGGTGGACTTCCGGGCTCTGCATCTCTCGAAGCCCTTAAAGTTTAAAAGCTGCGCTATATACCTTGTTAGGCTCTGGGGTTTAGGGTTTAGGGTTTAGGGTTTAGGGTTCACACTCGGACCAGCCAGGTGAGGCACGTGCAGTCAGTAGTCCTTCACTTGTAGCCCTATTAGGCCCCAGGTGAGAAAGTGTTCGGGGCAAGGGAGGAACTCCAAGCAACTCCCAAATATCCCATTTCAAAGCTGTTAATCTAGGTACCTCCCCCGTGGGAATATTTCTCTTAGCCCATGTTTCCAGCTACACACTCTTTAAATCGCCAGATTCGCCAACTCTTGCAGACAAAAAAGAATGGTCATCTTCACCAGGCAGACATGCACGTGCAGCATGCACCAGGCTCTGATTTGTTTAGGGTCCGGGGTTTAGGGCTTAGCAACTGACCCTAAACCAACCCTAAACCCTATACCCTATACCCTATACCCTAAACCCTAAACCCTAAACCCTAAACCCTAAACCCTAAACCCTAAACCCTAAACCCGCCGAAGTCTTCGGAACCTTAGGAGCTCCCAAAAAACCCTGAGTTGCAAAACGAGCCCGCGCCTCGCCACGGCGACATGCTCGAGCACCTCAAGGACTCCCCCACAAGCTGACCCATGAAAGGGGCAGTGGCAAAGCTCTTTTGAGTTTAGGGTTTAGGGTTTGGGGTTTAGGGTTTGGGGTTTGGGTTGGGGGTTGGGGTTGGGGGTCGGGGGCCCTAGAATTAGAACACAGCCCCCACCCCCACCCCCACCCCCCACCCCCCAAACACGCACACACAAACAAACAACAAAACGTGAACTCTCCGCCTGTCAGTGGAGCATGAACCCAAGAAGGCGAAGCTCGCCTTCGAACACACGCTTTGGCGCATAGCCTTTTGCAAGAGGCTTTGCTAAGAGCCCTGATTGAAACCGTGCTGAGCATGCGACGGGAGCCGAAGTACCCGAACCATGCAGGGTTTTTGGGGAAAAGACTTCCTTGCTTTTGGTGCATGTTCCTTCGTTGAACCCCTCGCATCAAGAAGGATCCTCTAGGGAGATTTCCGAAATTAACAGGCTGCGGATGGGTGTTCTACTACTGATTGAGCTGAAACAGATCCTTGTGCAGCTTTTGCGTGTATTTCGGGTACACTTTCGGTGTCTTGGGGAATGCCCTGTGAAATACACAATGGATCCTAGCGAGGTGCTGTTAGGGTATAGTCTCCCTACTTCAGGGACATTAGGATCGCTTGGCTCATCATCAGCTGCTGGGCGACTGCCACCGCCGCACCCACTTCCATCGCTGACGCGTCGCTCAGGAGCTGCTCCTTCGGCTGATTTTTTCTGCGTAAGTCACTCTCGGAATAATTCCTAAACCCTTCTGCCAGGCTTGCTTGCAGCGGTCCAAACTCTCACCCTAAACCCCAAACCCTTTTTGCGCCAGGGTTTAGGGTTTAGGATTTAGGGGCTTTCTCAAGAACCCTAAACCCTTCTCGTTTTATGGGGGCTTCGGGCTTCGGGTTGAAGTGTTCTGAGCGACTTCACCAGTGCATCTCGTCTGGACAACCAGAGATGAGAAATGGCGCAACACAGAAGAATCTATACTCCCCTGAAAATCTCAATAAAAATGATATGCTTAGTATCCTCTTGGGTTTTATATAAACAAAAACGAATAATCATTCCCAAGCAGGATATAGGAATATCTACGTCTTCGCGTATGATTGCAAGCGTATACCCCCTTCCCCTAATATTCGATACCTCCCCCAGCAGAGTTACATTGTAGCATATGGAGGGGTTATATTTTAGGGGGAAGGGAGTATAAAATGTGACGTGTGTTGGCACAAACGACGGTTGTCCCGGGCTTCTGCTGCATCTGAGGGAGGTCGAGGAGCTGTGGGTATTTTGCTTTCTTGCCCCCCCGAAGACAAAGACTCCAACACCCGTTAACTAAGGAAGACCCTAAACATGTCCCTGAAAAGCAGTAGGGGGCTAAAATTTCGCCAAAATATAGAAATTAGGGGCCCTAAGCTACAGGATATTGGAGCTGCTTCGTCGGAAGCTCAGCAAGAGTGCTCCCGGCAGCAGGCGGCAATGGTGCGCAGTAGAACTGGCGAGGCGGCGAGGGCCTGCGATGACAAACCCTAAACCCCTTTGACCCTAAATCCTAAACCCTAAACCCGATGCTTCTAGGTTGCTCCTCGCTTTTTGTCTTACCGGACCTCAGATCATCGAATGGAAGACGCTCTTTTCTGTTCTGAGGCTACCACTATAGTCTCGACCAGACTCAGGGTTTAGGGTTTAGGGTTTAGGGTTTGGGGTTTGGGGTTTAGGGTTTAGGGTTTAGGGTTGAGGACTTAGGGTATATAAGCTTGGGGTTGGGGGGGGGGGGGGGGTGCTGTGACCGGGAAAGCAGTACATTCCTTGACGTAAGGCTTAGGAGTCAGGCGGCGCCCTTCCCTCCGGGTGTTGCGGACGTATTCAACATCTAGGGCATATCAGTACATAGCTGTGGTAGTAATCGTATAGGGATACAGTAGAGACCCCTGTCGAGGGGGCCGGCCAAGAATCCTCAAGATAGCCTGTAACATCCTCTTCCTAGTTGCTGAGTTCGTGGGTCCCCAAAAAAATTCTATAGGGGATTATAGTATCCCAAAAAGTGTAAAGAGTACTCTTTCAGCTACTAAGTCTCCCCCTAAACCCTAAACCCTAAACCCTAAACCCTAAACTTCCTAGAAAAGGAGCCTGGGCACCCAGCGCCTGGCGCAGCGCCCGCACGGCCGCGGCTGCGGCCCCGGACTCGGCGCAGAGGCGCGGCCTGGTTTAGGGTTTAGGGTTTAGGGTTTAGGGTTTAGGGTTTAGGGTTTAGGCAAAACTTTCAAGCACCAGACTCCTTGAAGCCCTCATGCATCACGGGAGTCAGTAGGCCTTACAAGGCCCCAGTCGCCCCCCCTAAGCCACGTAAGCCTTGTAGGCTCAATGACAGTCTTCTAGTCACCTGCATCCTGCACACAAACGACCTCGATACACCAAAACTCACGGCTCTTTTGTTGCTGCGCTCCGACATGCATATGGTCAGTTCTCAACATCATGGTCTCTTTTTGGGCACCCTAAATAATCGGGCCCGCCATATTATCCAGAAGTGACCATATGTGTCGGGCCTGGCGGAAGGACCCTGGCTAACAAGACACAACACCCTGAAGACTCTTGCTCAAGCAGCCCTAAATCAGTCAGCGCCCCAAAAGCAACACAAACAAACCCCGAACCACCAAAGCTGACACCTTGCACTATACATCTAAAAATATCTATGTATATATGAATATATATATATATATATACAACAAAAATGCACAGAAACTGCTGAAGACAGTAGAAGAGTAAACTTGAGTAAACTTACAGCCGCCCTCCGCCGCAGTATGCAATGCCAGGGGACGCCAAGGAGGAGAGAATCGGCTGCACCGCTGTCTGGAGCTCGGTGGCCGAGACCTTCCATGGAGTGAGCAGGGAGTGAGGGTTTAGGGTTTAGGGTTTATAGGGTTTAGAGTTTAGGGTTTATAGGGTTTAGGGTTTAGGGCTGCGGGGTTAGGGGCTTAGGGCCGTTTTGGGTTTGAGGACTGACGGCTGACTGGCACCCAGAACTTCCCAGAAGGGAGAGCGACGACATGCGCATCGGAAGTTCTGGGGGCCAGGTGTAGGGGTGGCTCCGCGAATCTGCTGAAGGAAGCCTCAAAACAAGAGCGTGACTCTGAAAAGCAACTACTAAAGTCTTGTCATAGCAACAAGAAGACAAAAAAAACATCCTAGTATTACCAGTAAGCATAGAAGAAGAATCATCTTCAGAAGGGAAATGACGACAGCTGTATTGAGTATGTTGCTTCTTGTTGAATAGGCTTAAGGGGGGAACGGGATGTGTCGCGGGTGAGCGATGGGGCGTCTGGAGGGGGGGGTTTGGGGCTGAGTGGCCTGTAGGAGGTGTAGGGCTGAGAGGCGCCTCCCCACTCCCAAATTAATGCTAAACCCTAAGCCCCAAACCCTCAGCCCGCCCTCGACCCCTGTCGCCGCTCAGTGAGACTAGGGCAACTCCCAAAGCCGGAAGCCCCTGCAAAGCCCTACAAAAACCCGAAGAAGGGGCTGCCAAAATGTTTCTGGACTGAAGATATTTGATGAGGAATGCCCTTCCGCCTAGAATTCCCCAACGCAAAACCGGGTCCCTGCAATCTTTGTCTGTTGGTGAGCTGCCAAGCCGTGCTCATCTTCTGTTCTGAAGCTACGCTGCGGAAAGCCCTTCGGCCTGGAATGCCCCCAACGCAAAACCTGTGTCGGAAACGCTTGCCTTCGGCATGCTCCCCTTTGCTTCGAGCGTCTTACGTGTCCATCTATGGACCTGAAACAGCCTGAAGGTGTTCGATGAGGAGCCTAGACTACCCCGACGCAACAACCTGTTGCTGGAGTCCACAATGTCCCGAGTGTTTTAAGCCTGCCACAAGTCCCCATGCAGAATCTGGTCCAATCATTCTTTGGCTTCGCTGGTTCTTGCTTGGGCTGGCTCCGGTTTGGTTCTCCGTGAGTTGTGACTGGATGGCCTTGGGGTGACAAATGCTACGTACACCTAAACCCTAAACCCTAAACCCTAAACCCTAAACCCTAAACCCTAAATCCTAAACCCTAAACCCTCAACCCTAAACCCTAAAACCTTTTTGTTGCTTCAGGTCTCCTGGGGTTAGTTCCCTCAGGGACTAACCCTAACCTCTAAACCCTCTTTGGGGCTTAATATAGGGGCCTTGATAATTGGAATAGGGTTTTGGGGGTTCTTATAGTATGATTCCAAAGGAACAAGAGGGAAAAAGACTACAAATTATTCCGACCCCTACACTATACGGCTCCCTTGGCCTAAACCCTAAACCCTAAACCTAAACCCTAAACCCTAAACCCTAAACCCTAAACCCTAAACCCTAAACCCTAAACTGCCGGCCTGGCCCTGAGAGGCCCACCGGCCCAGCAGCGCCAAGGCTGCAGGCAGCGACTGGGGCGGAAGTTCCGGGGCTCTCCTGACCGAAGCCCCCAGGTCACTCGAAACACACTGTGGGGTTTAGGGTTTAGGGTTTAGGGTTTAGGGCTGCTCTTTGAGGGTTCAGGGTTCGTGCCTGAGGGTGTGCTTGAAGGTTCATGTTACTTTGTAGTTGCTGTACAGTAGTAGAAATTCAAAATGGTAAGCGCAACCATGCAGTTAGTAAGAGGGACCTTCAAGTAGGGTTTAGCGTTTAGGTCCTTAAGCCATGCCCCGGAAATCTTAATTGGGCTCAGGGGCTCAAGGGTTGATGAGGGACTTAATTCTTTATATCAAATAATTGTCCTTATTCAGTATATTGTTATGAACATTTTCTCATTTCTGAAATATATGTATATATATATATATGTGAATAAATACATAAATAAATACATATATATATATATACAAGTGTGTGTATATATATATATATTTATATCTATTTATGTATACATAAACCATTATATACATATATATATATATGTATACACTCACTTTGTTTTTTGGGGGAGGGGGAGCGCCTAGGGTTCAGGGACTTTTGTGGTGCACTTCTCGATGTGTGCCTGTCAGGCCATGCTAATCTTCACAGCATCCTTCTCCCATTTTATCGGATAAACCCTAAACCCTAAACCCTAAACCCTAAACCTGGGGGTGAGGCTTCAGGGGTTCCAAGGATCTAGGGCTTAGGGTTTCTAGTTCTTGCAGGGAGGAGGGCTTGGAGGTTTCTAGAGTTTGGGGTTGAGGGTTCAGAATGATACATGGGTTTAGGGTTTAGGGTTTAGGGTTTAGGGTTTAGGGTTTAGGGTTTAGGGGATTTCGAGACCCAACAATATTGATGGAGCACTCGGGTTTGAAGATTCAAGGGTTTAGAGTGTCCAGGTTGATGGCGTCGTGGCTTGAGCTGCGGATGCTGGTGGCATGTGGCTTACGGGCTTCGGCGTGCGTGAGCCTTTTCTTTCTAGGGGACGGAATTAGGAGGAACCTTGGGGACATAGACCCTCTGAATAAGGTTCCTGTTTAAGAGAGCCAGAAGAGGGCTCAGAAGGGTTCCCTTTGAAGGGTCCCCCTTATCCTACATAGGACTTTCATGGTTTAAGGCCTCGAGATTTTGGGCCTTTCAGGGTTTGAGGGGGAAGTGTGGGCATGTGCGCAGTGCGAGAACTATCGCCGCTTGCCGGACTTCGTCCCTCTTGACTTGCACACCAAGTTGCCGTCCCAGGGCCGGCACAGTCGCCTCCGCCAGGGTCCTGGTTTAGGGCAGTACAACCATTTTTGAACCCTAAA